GTGAAGGAGCGAGAAGTTTATCGTCACCGCCATATTGCAGTTATTTCACCAAGGTCAGCCAACCATGGCCCCTACCGTTTGAAGTCCAGTCACAAATACTGTAATAACGCCAACCTTCTCGCTATTCCACCTACACCATCTAAAGCCGAACCTGCAAAGTCATCAAAGCTATTCATGCCGTCGTTCTTTCTCTCCAACGTCATGTCACTGGCGCCGAAAATAGATGAAGTCCGTGAAGTCGTCCATTATGCAGATTTCGACCTTGTATGCATAACAGAGACTTGGCTCAAAGACCACATTGACAATAATATTGTCGCTATTTCTGGCTATAACGTGATCCGCCGAGATCGAACTGAAGCAGTGCATGGGGGAGTGTGTCTGTACATTAAAGAGTCTATCCAATTCAAGATCATTGAGGACATTATGGATAGGAAGTTTGAAGTTATTTGGACTCAAATACGGCCCTCGCGTCTCCCAAGGGGCATTACCAGCATTATTGTTGGAGTTGTTTATCATTCTCCGAGCGCCGCGGATTCGCCTATGCTGGATTATTTGTATAACTGTTTATCTTTGGTTGAGGCTCGCTTTCCTGGCTGCGGGATAATTTTACTTGGTGACTTCAATAAAACTCTGTTAAAGAAATCTTCGCGCCTTAGTAACGGCTTTAATTTGAAGCAAATCGTTACCTTTCCAACTCGCGGCAGAAATACCTTAGATCCGGTGTTAACAAATGTGAAGGAGTTCTATGCCCCTCCGATCCAGCGCCCTGCTCTCGGTTTGTCCGATCATTTCTCTGTGGAAGTTCAGCCGCTCGTGCGTTCCCAACAACCAAGAACTAAACTTATCGTGAAATCGAGGGACTTACGGCCTACAACGCGTATGGCTATGCGCACGTATCTTGGAAATGTGGACGTTAAGACACTTATTGATAGTAAAGATTCTTGCAAGGGCAAAGTGGAAATGCTGGAGACCATAGTTAAGACCGGAATGGACATTCTCCTCCCCCTGAAGTCTAAGTCGGTACAAACCAACGAGCCGCCCTGGGTCAATCAACAATTGAAGGGTCTCATTCACAGCCGCCAAAAGGCCCTCGCTCAAGGCGACCAGGAGCAGTACCGCACCCTACGAAATCGCGTTAATCGTGAGAGGAAAGCATGCCGTGCAAAGTTCTATAACTCCAAGGTTGAACATCTGAAGGACTGTAAACCCGCAGTTTGGTGGCGTGAGGTAAAGAAGCTCAGTGGTACGTCAGACGCAGCTTCTAGAGGCGTTAATCCAGCTACCCTCTACCAACATATTGATTGTGGTCAGAGAGGTTCGCCTCCAAGCACGATAGACATTGCTAACACCATCAACCAGGCGTTCTTGGCTCCTATGCGCGTCTTCACCCCCCTTTCACCTAACACCTCAACCAACTCTGACCAGGAGAGTGCTTTCCAGGTATCAGAATTCTCTGTTTTAAAGAAGCTATCCGCCTTAAATCCAACTAAGGCAACCGGTCCGGACGGAATCCCCGGTTGGCTTCTTAAAGAGAATGCAGATTTACTAGCACTGCCTGTGACTGATATCCTTAACTGTTCGTTTAAGGAAGCACGGTTGCCTCAGTCTTGGAAGGACGCTAACATCACTCCAGTACCAAAGCAGAATCCAATACACGATGTAAACAAACATCTACGTCCAATATCCCTAACTCCCGTGCTTTCTAAGGTTGCTGAAGATTTCGTCGTGGAGAGTTTCCTCAAGCCTGTTGTGTTGGCGAAAGTGGATGTACGGCAGTTTGGGACTGTGCCAGGTTCCAGTACGACACAAGCACTAATAAGCATGGTCCACTCATGGCTTAGTGCTACGGATGGGAACGGTGCAACTGTCAGAACCATCCTCTTTGACTTCCGCAAGGCGTTTGACCTTATTGACCATCAGATCCTAGTTCAGAAGCTCATTTCATACGATCTTCCAAGCGGAATAATTGACTGGATAGTGGACTTTCTGTCCTGTCGCCGACAGCGTGTTAAACTTAGTCAGGACTGTTACTCGGAGTGGGGGGCCATCCCATCAGGGGTCCCACAGGGCACAAAACTTGGCCCCTGGTTATTTACTATTATGATAAACGACCTCATCATCCCGGGTACAGACATGTGGAAATATGTCGATGACTCCACTATTTCTGAAACAGTCATGAAGTCTGAGGTCAGCAAAGTCCAACAAGCGGTTGACGAACTCGCGACGCAAGCTTCTGCTGACAAGTTCCAATTAAATGAAACCAAGTGCAAGGAACTGCGCATAACATTCAGTCACTCTAGAAAGAACTTTGATCCAATTAAGGTTAATGATCAGGACTTAGAGTGTGTAGAGCAAGCAAAGATCTTAGGTTTGCAGATATCTTGCGATCTTACGTGGAATAATCACGTATCCGAAGTTGTAAAGAAAGTAAACAAGCGCCTGTATTTTTTGCGTCAGCTTAAGCGTGCACAAGTCAAGTCGGAGGAACTTTTGCTCTTCTATTTGACTTGTATTAGGCCTGTCACTGAATATGCATGCCCTGTTTATCATCATAGCCTCCCGCAATACCTTTCAGTAGATCTTGAGAGATGTCAAAGGCGAGCTTTACGTATTATCTATCCAGATTTTTCGTACAATGAGGCGCTTCTTTTGACTGGTCTAGTTCCCTTACACAACCGCCGCGAGTTCTTATGTGATAAGCTTTTTAATTCCATCCTGTCTAATCCCTCGCACAAGCTCTATAGCTTACTACCTCCCAAGAATGAGTGCGAAGTCAATTTAAGGAGTCAGCACTCTTTTACTACACGGCGCCTCCACACCATTCGTACTCGAAATAGTTTTATCCATCACTATGTCCATAAAGCAATGATGTAATATTGTTTTTCTCTTAATTATATATTTTTGTCTTTTTAATTAGTTCTTCTTAGCCATGTATTTTTTGTAGTATATATTTTATTGTAAATCAAACGTAATTCAGCCTGTGGCTGCAAGGTTCTTGATAATAAACTATCTATCTATCTATCTATCCAATCTTCATGCGACTTGTCACCAGAATTCAATAGCACCATTATCAGCTCAAAAATGACTTAATGGAGCTAACAAAATACCAAATTCATTTACCAAGCAAACTAGATCTCTTAGGATTTTTGGCCATCGCTTCGTCCAATATTATAAATCAAAATGCTGTATCAAGACATCAGAACTCTCTCGTGACCAAGTGCTATTCTAAATTCGATAAACACCGACCAATTACTCTGATTTCACATCAAATCTTAAAGTATTTTTTCCGTACTCGTACGGAAAATCGCTTAAGTTTATATCTTACCAACTCTCTGTTTTTGTTATTTCATTATCTCTATGTTATGATTTAAAACAGTCAACATAGACCCTCCTTATAAGAAGAAAGCGTGAAACAAGTTCCAACATCAGCATGTCTTGATTTAATTTGTGGTAAACTCGGCCCTTTATTTTATTTCGGCCATTTAATTTACAATTAATGAAATATATTTAGCTCCTCATCGGTAAATCTTAAGGAAATAATTAAGAATAAAGATAACCGAGGTACTTATTATTGCAGGATAATCCACCCTAAGTATAAGAATTGGTTAAGATTCTGTTCCTCTCTTCTGTTTATTTGTGGCACGGACGAGGCGACTTCTTGGATTTAAAAATAAATATTTTTGTGCGCTTATGCATTTCATTATGAAGTTAAGGCTAGTGAACATGAGTTAAATGGTGTCATGAGGATATTTTGATAAGATAGTTTCGTTCAGAAAATCTGTATGAATCCATAACACCGAAGTGGGGCACTCACTTCAGCCGAATCAAAGTCCAATAGTCCAAAGCGTGTTTTAATCAATGACCTCGGTTTTTTTTCCAGTTGTCAAATGTAATAAACCGTAACGTCGTGTGTTTGAACAATCTTTTCAACTCTTTCGGTTACGAAACCTTTTACGAAGTGATTAAAACGATACTTAATCGACATTTTAGTTTCGAATGTCCTAAACACGGAACGAAAAACAATAACATTCACACCTGCCTCGGCTACGTGGGCGCTATGATCGTCAATTTGAAGCTTATTCGAAGCTGCTAACGAATAACTGTTGTTGAAAACAAATTAAGCGATGAAACTTGGGGTTTCTACCAAGATCTTCGTCCCCTGAGCCCGTGTAATTACTCAAACATATCTTGCCTGCGCCATCTTGCCTACTTCGTTGTCTCCGTATTAGGTAGAAAATGACGTCAGGGTCAAAAATAAGAAAATAATGTCGTCGAAGCGAGGAACTTCACCGAGGGAAGAACAGTAAAACCCCATGTATAGGCAACCTCCTTTCTTCTTTTCTTACTGAAATACCAGTTTTGGTAAGCCCTATTACTTTCATGAAAAGCTTCCCTTTAAACATACGAGGGGTGGGGCAGGGGATAGGGCAAGGGCGTGTGTAGGGGGTATGGTTGCAAGGCGGCCACACTGTTGAAGACCTTTCATAGCACAAAAGTTTATTGCAATTTACCGAATAACCTCCACATAAAAGGCTGACCAACTCGATCAATAATACTTATAATAAATTGAACATACATAAAATTGATCACAATAGATATTAAAATACAATGTAACAGCTGAATTTTTCAAAATTATGGGACAATAAATCTCAAGCAATTACCTTAAACAACCTCAACAAACAAGATAATTCTTTAATAATCATGTACCTTTTCTTCATTTTAATACCATGTTCTCAATTTTTTTCAAAGTGGAACAAAATTGTTTCCTTCTCAAAGATATTTAGCATTCAAAGAACATGTCTTTCACCAAAACCTAACTGAAAGCCATTTTTCTTAAAGCAATGTGGTGAGTCAGCTTTAACTCAAACAATGTACAAATAATGTCTGAAATTTGTTTGTTTCATAACGCCTACTTATTTAATACACACTCTAATATCAGAATTGCGAAACATTTTCTTCTCTTTTTAACATGCTTTTTCTTCTGAATGACATGCCTTGTGCAGCTGACTGCTACCAACGTGAAATACAGCAATTTTCACTCAGGAGCTGGGCTGTATAATGGGTGTCTGCATACTGGGCATGTGCGGCTTAAATAAGAAACATAAGAGACATACAATTACTAATAATTGGCATACAAATCAATTTTTTTGCTACCTGTAGTTAACTAACAGGTCATATGCCCTACAGCAGAATTCTGATTCCCTACAAGCAAGTGAGGAAGTAGTGGAGTGGGTTCCTCACTTGCAAGAAAACACGGAAAAGTATCCATAAGCCAGACAAGCCTTATTGCACCCAGGTAGAGGACCAATTGCCACTTTCTGAGGGAAAAGTTAAACAAATAAAATGCAAGGCTTGTAACCCAACTGATGCTTCTTAATGAGCTTGCATTACCTTAAGTGGTTGCACAAAAAGGTTTATCCTAGTAGTTCTGAGAATTTCCATTAACTGAAAATAGTCTGGTCAGAGTAGTGTATGAGGTAGCTGCTTAGAAGAGTTTTTAACTTTGGATATACTTCTTGTTTTCTCTGGGAAAGTGATGATGATCAAGTGGAAATTGTGTAGCCTAGCACAACAACATACAAATAAACAAACAAGGCAAAGAAGTGAAGAAGGAATATTGATTAGAAGAATTAAGTGCTTACATTCCATTCTGTATCATAGCTATTGCACATTCTCGATGAACCTTGTGTGAGCAGGGTAAAATCTGACATCCACTGAAAGCATCCTATGAGTAAACCAAAAATGAAAAGTTATTATGCTGAAGTCATAATTAACATAGAGTTATCATATAGTCAAGAAATAAGGGATGAAAGGAAGGTATAAACAAGTTTACTAGTATATACACATGTAGTGGGTTAGAAAAATTGTACCGAAGTATGTCTGAATCTAAAGTAAGTGTTACATTTATATGACTTCTGGCCAAAAAAAAACCAGTAAAATGTCAGAAGGTGTAAAACTGGTCAGAGAACACAGCTTGTGTGAAAGTGATTTTTGATACCTTACTTTGGAAAGAACAGTGTTACACTTACAGAGTAGGATCATTTACTCATGAGAAAAGAAGTGAAAAGGAAAATTGTTACAAATATATCAACAATAGTAACAATAATAATAATAATAATAATATAAATAATAATAAAAATGATTAAGAAACCAATGGTTAAGAATTTTGAAGTTTACCAGCTCACCTCTAAACAGATACAGCATTCATCATGGCCAGAGTCTGGCCTACACTTGTGCTTTCCTTGAAGGCGTTTGTCGAGACAGACATTGCACACATCACAGTGGAATGATTTGTCTTTATGTATGCTACAAGAAAACATGGCATAATAAGACCAGTGCCCTGCTTGAAGTGGTAGAAAAATCAAATTTGTTAAGCTGGCTTCAAGGTAGGATTGAGAAAAGAAAGATTTTGGCAAAATGTGAGCTGTTTAAGTGTTTACTTTCTGGTAACCATTCTATGTTTCTAAACATGTAGGTTGCCAAAAAGACGACTTACAAGAAAAGTTACACTTTAAGCCCTTGAAAAAGCTCATGTGGCTTCAAAACATAAAAGCTTTGGAAAACACAACAGAAAAGTTCTTTATTAACTGAAAACTCTGTCAGGTCAGTTACCGGCATATTCCACATTTTTCACAGTGGTATGGATTTTTGTCAATGCTGGTGAAGTGTTTACAAATAGCACAGAAGTATGCTGACATCTTTGCTCCACAACTACGACACTTGCCACTGTCTTCACCAATCTGAAAGGAAATGATTTGGAAAATCAAACTCAAAGTCTCACACTCTAAGTTAGTGGGAATTATGGTCACAAAGTTCTTAACATAGATTGTCTCATTCATCAGGGAGAACAGTGCTCCAACCTGTGGCCAGTGTAGTTGCCATGGAAAGGGGATAACATTTTGGTATCTGACTTTGCAGTGAGATTTGTTTTGCTTAATTTTTATTTCAATGGCGACTAAAATTTTGCAAACACATGCAAAGTGAGTTTGCAACAGTAAAGAGTGTATTATAATTAATAGCTCACCAAAACAGTTAACAAACATTACTGGAAAAAAGGACATGAATCTCCTCCCTGGATGTTTTCTACCACTCCCAGTAAAAAATATGGCAATTTTTATAACTATAATTTACAACATAACTAAAAACCTTTCATCACCTCTTGTTCATGATGACAATAGCTGCATTTAAGGTGAGTTGCATGACTTGCTTTAGCTTCCTCATTGTCACATTCTTTGGAATTGTTATGGCAACGGTGGCATGAATAGAAGTTGTTACAGCAAGGGAAACGTACTCTACAATGACGTTGGTAATGCTCACAAAGCCATAAAGATTGTCCAGTAACTGGTTCCTGCTGTTGAGGCCATCCTCTGGCTTCCTCTAGCTCCCTTGCTTCTCTTTCTCTCTTCTTTCGTGCTCTTTCTGCTCGAATTTCACGCTCTTTTCTTTCAATTTCCCGACCAAACTCTTCTCTTTCTTCTCTCTCCCTAAGCACTCTTTCCACCATTGCACAAGCCTCTTCAACACGCTGTTCCAATTCAAGCAGGGAGTTATCTGTAGACTCTACTGACTCTGTACCATAGTTTCTGTTTGTGACTGAATCTTCAGTTTCGCCAGATTGACTCTCCCCTGTATCAGTACCAGATATCATGTGAGAGCTTGAAGAATTATAGGCCCTGCTTCCTTCTCTATAATGTCCAGAAGCCAAATGATCACCAGATGCATTCATTGCATTGCTACTAGAGTTAACCTCTTCAGATGTATTCAAACCATCCCTGCCTGTTGTGACTGGCAATAACTGACTAACTCTACTTGACTCTGATTCTGAAAAAAGCCTGCTGTCAGATCCATTAACCCTTGCTCCTGAAGATGAAGTTGGGGAAGCATCTGGAGGGAAACCATAGGTTTGCTTGTTAACTGATGAACTTCCTAATAATCCAGAATTTCTTGTTGAAGGTAACATTGATGCACTGCCTCTGAAGTCACTGTTTCTATGTGTACCAGTTGCAGAATGTGTCATTTCAGGCCTTGTGGACCCTGTCAAGTCAGAAGTGAAGCCTGAACCATGTAACCCTAGGTGAATTGGTTGATTAATTTGTAAACTTGTAAAATGCCCATCCGGTGGTGTTTGAGCCTCTCTTGTACCAAGAGCATACTCATTTAATGATAAATTGAAATTCAACGTGTTAAAGGCACCTATTTGAGATCCTGTGGGCTGCATGAAATCAGAGGTCAATCCTGAACCAGTGAACCCTGAATGAAAAACTTCATTTCTTTGTAAAGATGGAAAAGTCCCATCTTGCAGTCCTGTAAAAGGCACAAAATTGTTGGCCACATTAGGATTCAATAAGTTGAAGCCAGTGTTTGAACTGTTATTTCCTCCAATACATGCTCCACTAGTCTGAGGGAACAATGATGCATATGTTTGAGAATATGGATCTGGCCTGAAAGGAACTTGACATTCACCAAAGTACAGTTGAGCTTTATTTGACTCAGTCAAGTTTACCATGCTGTCTACATGAGAAGCTCCTTGTAATGAAGAATTCTCAGTCAACATCTTCTCAACATTAGTGTAATATAAACTTTCATGAAGATGTTTGTCTTCTGAGTGTCTTTCTAAGAATGTGTTGGCCACTCCATGAGCCACAGGTCCAGCAACTTGTGGAGGTACCAAGTCTTCCAATGAGTTTAGCAAAGAAGGTTCTGGACATCTGTCTGTTTTAAGAGGTCTGTCTCTTGGCCTGGCCCCTAAATGCTCCCATTTCTTTGACTGACTGCTCACATGAGAGTCAGAAAGATCTGTTGCTGTGTCCTTTTGAGCAGTGAACCTTGCACCTGAAACATTTTGCCTCTGATTTGTGTCTCCATTTGGAAGAGAATCTTGATTCACACTAGTTAAGTCTTCTTGCTTTAAACTATCTTGGGCTCTATCTGGTAAATTAGCTGCACCATCTACAGTGTCATTAAAGTGATGATTAGAATAAGATTGTGTCTCTGCACCATCAGGAAAAGAGAAGTCATGAGTAACTTCTTTGACCCTTTTGCCATTAGCAGCACATGCTCCTTTCAGCTTTTCACTTTCAAATTGTTCAACTGTAAATGAAGGTGACCAAGACTTCTCTCGGGAGTCCAATCCAATACTTGACGCATCAAATGACTGAGACAAACCTGAGGCTGAATCGTATCTCTCCTGTGACAAATCCACATCTCCAAAAAACCTTGATCCATTCACATTCTCTGCATGAAAAGTAAGAGCAGCCCCCTCTTTATCACCATTAAGTGAGTTTACATTGGAATTGTTGCAAACTTCTTCCTCTTCATCAACTTCAGTGTTGTCAAATATTTCTTTCCTTTCTTCCATTTCATCGCATTGTTTACCATTGACACCAGAAACACTTTCAGACATGTCAACCAGTTGTTTGCTCTCTTGAGGTGAAAAAGATTCCCTTCTACACGATTCTCCACCATTATGAAAAGGTTCATCAAGTTTCTCTACAAGATCAAAACGATGGATTCTTTCCAGAAGATCTTTAACAAAGGAAAAGGAAAACTTCCCTCTTCTTTCTAATTCCTCAAACAACTCTGAACCCTCCCTGATCCTGGCAAGTCTAAAGCTATCCAACATGGGTAGAACAAGCTTCTTGATCCTGCTTAGTTCCAATTCTGAAAGGGAAAGTGAGATCTCCCGGAGTCTTTGTTGAAGCAAGATACCTGCAAAAGGAAACACAAACAAGATAAATGTGAGGTAACTCTTAGAAATGCAGTTTTTTTTCTCATTCATAATAATACCGTCTTGGAATAGTATAATGCATGCATGCATACTTATCCCAAGAAAGGTGAAATTTTGAAAGCCTTCATTAATGTAATGGAATTTCTAAATAAAGGTACAGTATTAATTTTCAGTTATAACTCAACATACTGACTTAATGGCTATACAACACAGTTTCAGATTGTGCAACATCTACCTTCTGAGGTGCCTTATTGAAAGACGAAGACAGAAAGCCATGATCTCTACCAATCGAGCATGCTTTCTGATGATCATCTTTAGGACATGATAAGTAATGTATGCCAATTGTGCAAATTTGTAGTAGAAGTAACATACAGTTAATATGAATCCTATCAGGAGCACAATAGCCACAGTAACTATTCCAAAAAGTATTTACCTGCTTTTTCTAAAGGACCTGCACCACCAAGCAGCTTAGCATCTGTACCTGAAAAGTCATGGGATGCACCTCTAACTCCAACAGGCTCACTTGTCCCACTGGCATGTTTGCTGGGGGGTTGATAAACCTTTTTGCTGCATCGTCTTTCTTTGCTTTCAAGAAACAACTGTCTTCCTACTTCAGCTTGAAGACCTTGTTTCTCCTCTTCACAGAGCTTCAATTTCTCTTTCAATTTTATCAATTTTTCTCTTAGTTCATGGCATTGATCCTGGTAGAACACAACTTCATCTTGCAATTCACAGATCAGGTTGCCATTGAGAATGGTGCCTTTGCCATTCTCTGTGGTCAATGGAAGTCCAGGACGCTGATCAAATTCCATTCTGTGATCCTCCTTTGACTCCTCTTTGTTAGAGCATGCTTCAGTGCTTTGAACACTGCAATTCTCCTGAGGACTTTCATTTGGTGGCAAATTGTCTTTGGTTTCTGAGCTAGGATGATACTTTGCAATCCAACCCTCTTCACAATTTGCCTTCACTGCTGCACTCTCATGGTAGTGACTGCTGACAAAGATTCCCTGTGAAGTTGATGATGTGTTTGAGACATTACCTGTCTCTTTTCCTGAATATGTTTCTCCACAGACATTCTTCAAAGATGGCAAAGCTTTCTGCATAAACTCTGGGTTTTCATTTGTGGCATCATACTGACTCAAGGGCAAACTGTTCAGTGATGAGGCTGACACAGGAGTTAAAAGAGAGTTAACATGTTCTTCTGTACCATCAGTAGTATATAATCCATTGCTGTTGCCTGAAAGTTGTATTTCTAAAGATAACTGTCTGTTTCTCAAAATACACTCCAAAAGGTTTACACAAACATCAGTACCAATCTTGTCTCCAGAGTGGGCAGTGAATGATAAGCTTTCAGTATCCTATCAAATAAAAAAACCATAGTCAATTTAAAGCAAATAAAAATAATACATTAAGTCATTGTAATATTAATCTTTTCATTAATAATGTCATGATGACATCTCCCAGTTATGGGTAAATCTACAATGATTGATATTCACTCTTTCTTTTAGTTATAATGTTTTACAATCCAAAAGAGAACAATTTCAATAAACAAGATCCTGCCGAAAATGGACTTATTTTATACTAGAAATTCTATCCTTTATGAATTCTAAATCAATGACTTTCAAGTCTTTAACAAGTGATTAACAAGTGACTTCTCCCTACAACATCCATCTATTCACTATCCAGCAAGCAGGTAATGAGAGTACTCAAATGCATCAGGCAGAAGTTGTCATTTTGATCTAACACCAAATTCACATAACTTGTTTACAAGGAAATTTGTAGCGGCTAGAGGGTAGAATTAACAATCATATCTTGAGAGTTAAAGAGTTAAAGAGTAACCGAGAACAAAGCCTAGTGACTCCAGCAAAAGCTAGAATTTGGAATTCTTGATCCAGAGTCCAATACGTTCCTTCATTTTAACCCTAAACTTAGAAACATTTTAATTACCCTCTTTATCAATCACACAGGAAACTCATGGCAATGCAAACGACAAAAACTTTGATAAAAATGGTCTAAACATCTTGGAAAATTCACCATCTTTTCCAATTCTATCAGTGCATCTTGGGGAATTTTTCAGAATGACAGATGACCCAAAGTTCTAAAAGATATATGCTGATTCAAAAATATCTTGAGACAGTGACTGCAAGATTCTACTTCAACCACTACACTGTTTGAGTAAAAATAATTAACCTTCTCAAAATAATGAGGATAAAAAATTTTTGACTCCTAAACTAAATAGCCCCCTCCCTTGCCTTCTTTAAAGGTAGAAAGAGAAAGAAAAAGATTACGCCTTGTACAAGCACGTATACATTTGCATTATGCCAAAACAAATATTTATCTGGAGAAGTTTTAACCTATGAAGCTACTTGTTTTAGTGATTTAAATTAAGTAAAAATTTTAATTACCTCAGTCTGTGACAGGTCAACAGACATTCCTATCTTTAGCACATCAGAATCTGGTTCCCAGTTGGTTTGTGCATGTAAATCCAACTTTTGGTCAGAATTGCAGGAAGATTTGTCTTGAAAGTCCTTACAGTGACAATAACATTTTGTTGGCTCCTTAGCATTTTCACCACCATCCTCCACACATGGCAAACACTGAGTTTGTTCAAAGCCTGATCCTCGAAAATCAGACTCAAGAGACTCCATGATGCTCTCCAAAGCACACTTCACAGAGGAACAAATACAAGTTGACCCACTTTCTTTTACTGCTCGACACTTTACATAAACAGATCCTTCCTCAACAGCAAGTGACAAGGAGGCACAAATAGGGTCCAAAAAAGTAAAGTGGACTGCACAATTCCTATGTAAAGCCAAGGGGATCTTTGGAGTTGAAATGCTGAGCACCTCAGACAATTCCAGTTTTCTACTTAAACTAGCAATCCACTTGAAAAAAACAAGCAGTGCCTTATCAGAGGAAGAAAATCTAAAGGAAAAGTAAGACACATGAGCTAAAGGCCAAAGAGTAGATGCAGTGGGAGAACTATCTATGCTGTCACACTGGTTGTGCAATTTTGATAACTCTAAATCAACTAGAAGTGGAAGAGAGTCAATTCGGGAAGAGAGGGAAGGTACAGCAGGTGATTGCTCTTGAATTGGCAGCTTCATGAAAAACTCTTGTTTCTCATGGAAAGTTTTTCTAAACTTAGGCTGTAGACACAGTAGTTTAACACTTTCACGGAAGGAAGAGGTAACACAGCCCAAGTCTCCTGTTTCCAAGACATCAGATGTCTTCCAGAAGAGAAGAAATCGTGGCCTCTTTCCATTGCCACTGCATGATGACATCAAGAACACATTGTCAAAATCTCCTGATGGCCTCTTTTCCTTGCCACTGCATGATGATGAAAAGGACTCCTCTTCTAATGATGTAGCAGAATCAGGAATCAAAATGCAATAAACCTGGATATAAGCCTCCAAAATTATCTGTAATGCACAGTGCACATGTTTGCCCAAATGATCTGAAACTGTCAGGAACCTGGAGTCTAGCTCTTCCAAACAGCTGAACATTTCTCTCATATGACCCATTTTTTCATCTCCTGTTTTCATACAAGCCAGACTGACAAGAGAAAGAAAGTGGGAACAGAGAGAACCCTTGAGGGCAAGACCATCAGTATCTACCAAAAAGAACATTCGATAAAGTTCAGGGGTAATAACCTTGGTCTTCATAGACAAGTCATCTTGTGATGATAGCTGATGATGTACAAAGAGAAACTCCTCTTCTGCTTCTTTGACTTGACCCAGGGAGTGCAGTAACTGGCCTTGCAAACAGTGGCAGAAGGCAACATCTGGATGATCATGGCGCAAGCCATGGTATATAAAGATGTCCTTGGCTTCTTTCACTTTGTCCAAAGCTGAACGCATGAATTTTCCTTTCCTTTGCAGAATAGATGCACCCTGAAGATAAGCAAGGGCTGTCTTAAGGGAGACCTTACCACAAGACAATATGAACATTTCCAATGCTTCTTCAATGGTTAATTTGGCATTCTCAAAATTTCCAGCCTCACTCTCCAGATCAGCTAACTTCAAAAGAATTGTGCCTACTTTTTGGTGGTGGGGATTTATTTCCTCAAAAATAATGCAAGCCTCCTTTAGAAAATAACAGGCCGCCTTACGGTTTCCTTTCTGCAAGGCACAGGCACCCTGTAGACTCTTGCATGATCCAACCATGTGATGCTCTATCCCAAAGAAGTGGATGTATATTTGCTCAGCTTTTAGGAGACTACTCTGTGCATCACTAGCCTCTCCATACTTAAATTTAAAGTGGCCAATTTGGTACTGTAAAAAGCCAAAAAGTGGGCAATTTCCACCATTAAAATGCAGGAATGTTGACTCCAACTTGTCAATCAACTGCCTAGCTTCATCAAAGCACTTAGTGGTGCAGTACATCTCTGCCAATGTCATAACAATTGCTATGAAGTCAGCAGTCAGTGGTTGTGCTTGTATGAATGTATCTGCAACAAACAGTTGTAAGGCAAGTTCTTCCAGTTTGTCATGTTTAATCTGTTCACCTTCATGTTCTTTCAGTTGCAAAGTCATCAGCTGCTTCATGTGCTGCACTGCAAAAGTATCTCTAATCTGGTCAATGTCATATTTCACAGCAACACTCAGAATATCATGATAACTTTTGTAGTCTGTGAGTTCTTGAGATAGGGTAACAAGTCTAAAGACTACTTTCAAATGAACATCAGTTGCTGGGGTCCTTGTGAAATCCCAGCAAAACCCAACTGCAGCATTACAATAAGACTTAGCTTTCTGATAGTCTCCACAAATCTTATGAAAGGCTGCCAAGTTCACAGTGGTAACAACAGTGCCCAGATGATTCTGTTTGTGTTCAAAGTAACTCAATGCACTCAAAAAACATTTTTCACCAAGCTTATACTTCATCCTCTGACTTAACATCACTCCCACACTGATCATCAAATAACCATCATTAGGATAACTTTGAGGGAAGCTTGCAATTTCCTCCAAACAAGCAGTGTCCCCAGCTTGAAAAGCCAGGAGACTTAAAAGATAAAGAGCATTTGATTCATTAAACAAATCACTTTCAGGAGGTAGAAAGATAAAGTGGTCTCCAGAACCTTCTAATAGCCCTATCATAGTTTGCACAACATATTGTTGTACAGCTTTAAAATAGGCTTGACCTTCATCACAGCCACTGACCACACCAATGATTTGAGTCAACTGCTTAATACTGTCATCTCCATCCACAATCTTATCATGGTGAAAGAAATCTTGCAACTTCCTAAGAAGATAAGAGCACTTGCTTTGCCTGTCACATGCAGCTTTATCGCACATGATGAATGAAGACTTGCAGATCAGAGTTTTTCTTTTTCTTCCTAAATAAAGTAAGATGACAAGAAACATATCAAGCTTCTAAAGAAAATAATGTCTTTTAATATAAGACCAACAGTATATATCATTAAAAGGGAAAAAAATTAAAACCCATGTCTATGCTGTGTATGTTCAACTGTATGCATCAGCATTACACATTCACCTAATGTCATAATGCAAAAAGTATAGCCAATTGCATCTATTACACTCCAAGCTGTGACTTTTTTGGTCACCATGGCCACTAGAAAAGAAAATTATGTCAACTAAACTTTCAAAATTGGGAACTAGTAAACTTTAGTCACCGTAAAGCAAGTTGTAACATTCTTTAATCTTAGCATTAGCTTCATCATGATATAAATGCACCAAACCTGGGGTATAGAGCTTGGTTTACATCTTGGTATTTCTAACTTTAGATGTTGTAATAGCTTAAAACAGACTTCTTTCCTCTGAATATTGCTCTCAGTAGTTTGCCACACAATCGTATCAACTGCACATTGCAGGGAAAAATACCTGCAGAAAAAAAGGTAATAAATGTAACCTTTCAATAACTCCTCTTTTAACAGTTTCATTAGAATATGATGCCCTTCAAAAATTAACTGTTACAGCTAAGAATGATATTGGTGAGACAAGAACTAAAAAAGATAAATAAAGAGCACCACAATTACATGTACAACACAATGTGAAAGAGAAAACAAAGTTAAGACAAACTGCCTAAGTTACTAGCAAAATATAAATCTCATAAGTTTTAAAAAGTCCTTTTGCACAACTTGAAACATTTTCAATTGGAAATTGTTGAAAGAAAAGACAGGCCAAACAAAACAAGTCACACTACTGATGAAGAAAACTCTGTAAGCTTTTTGTTGACTTTCATTTCACTGACACAGAACTGAGAAACAGCTGGGCATGTTAAACTTCCTTTGAATCCATAGCAACTAGCAAAATTCATTAGAAAGGATGACAAAAAAATTTTTAACCTACAAGTACTGATTATCATTAACTGCTTCAAATTAGTTAAAGGACAAAGTAAACATGGTCACCACAGTGTAGGATTTTGAAATTCCTAGACAAATATAGAATCTCACATTCATACCATCTAAAAATTTATACAAAATTTTATTTTGCATTTACAGCAAAAGGTTGCTCTTGAATTGAGCAAAAGTTCAAGGTTGAAGATATGGTGTTTAAGAGATATTTTGTGTACCTATTGAAAGAGCAGGTATAGAAAAAGCTTGAGTTTAAGTTATAGTTTAAGCTTGATTTTTCATTATACATCTCAAACTAGACAAAAGCTGCAGTGCTTTGTAAATGTACCGAACTAGCTAGAGCTATGAATCATGAGCTAAAAAGCATAAAGAGTGCTGCATGGTTTGTAAACAAAGAGGGCCACAGCAGTACTCACTGATGTGTATAAAGGAACAAGGTGGGAAAGTTTACACAGTAGGGGAGAAAATCCAGAACACCAAGCTTTCTGGCTTCTTTGATGAAAGGACAATTGATTTCAAAATCAACAGAGAAGATAGGGAACATGGACAAGAATTTCCAATGCAGAGGCCTCACTTCAGTAGAAAGATTAGATGTATGACAAGGTGTCTAACACTTGTGAGTTTCTACATAGTTCCAAAAGTCCATATCCACCACAGTTCTACTCACTGCCTTACAAAATGAATGAAGTTAAAATTTTTCTTTTCTTACCAGTTAACCTCACCCAAAAGAACAATATGAAGTGTAAGTTAATATACAGTACAGCTCAGAGGTATTTGGTCCAAGTTGCATGCGAAAAAGCACATTAAAAAATGAAATAATTGAAGTTTCAACAACAATTCATTAACTTTATGCCATTTTATTACATACTGTTAAATCAAACACTTAGATGTTGAGATTTAAATCCCCCAACAAATGCTCTGATTCTTTAGCTCAACCCTTTAACTCCAGTGAGTGACCAAGACAGAATTTCTCCTTACTGTATCTATACATTACCATGCAGACAAGTGATGAGAATAGAGAAAAATATTAACTATCAGATAACTAATTGATCTGACATAAAATTTTCCGAACTAAGATGATGAGAATCATTTGGCAGACAGTAAGGAGAATTACTAACAAGATCTTGGGAGTGAAAGGGTTAAAGTATACTTGAAAAGTGGAATAAGAAAAATTCAAGGCAATAGAAAACTAATTCTAAGTGTTGGAGAGTCGATCTGTGGGTGACTTGACTGCCAGTTCATTTCAAGTTGTTCCATTTAAATTGTTACATTGTATGCCACAGCATTTTATTTGTAGGGAAACAGATATCAAGTGCCTATTGTTCTATTATCGTAGTTTCACTATGGTTATCAGTCTAATTAAACATGAATCATGAACCATTTTGTTTTGATGACGAATTACTGGCTACATCATCAGTTGGATATTTACATAATTCAATTAAACTCTTAAAGCTGTGACCAGGGTTTTGACAGCAGATGCACTTCAAATCAACTGAGGTATAGTTTTGTCTGGACAGTACTCTTACTGACAACAATAATGGCCATCATACAGTGAAATTTTTTTTTCTTTTGTCCACAATTACGATATCAAAGACAGCAGAGAAGACTTGCTTGTTTTAGAGCACTCAATTGACAATATCAGGAGTCACGAAAAAGGCAATCTCAAAAAGTAATGTTGATGCTGATTATTATCTCTTTGTTTAAGTTGAAAGTATGAAGAGGCTAATTATCTTCAATGCTTAGAAGGCTACTGTCATCTCAATATATACACCTCAAACAGCACCTGCAGTACCTTCCACAGAACCAGCAGTATCTTCCACATGTAACTTCACTAACAGAACCTGCTTCACACTTAGCAACCAGACCAGCTGTACCTTCACTGACAGAACCACCATCAGTGCATTCTGTTCATGCATTGTCACCTTCATCAGTACTTCTATGCCTATCTCCCCAATCCATTATTGCCACTTGCTCACTCAGTTCTAACCAGCCCAGTGAATACATGCCCAGTTTGCAGTCCACTGGTAATTCAACCAGGGCTTGTCAGCTCTCCCATACACCAGAGAGTTGTTTCCCATAGTCTTTTAAATGTGGCTTTGTACCAAACAGCCTGTCATGAAGGAAGATGCAGCAAAGATCAAAGAGACCCTTGGAAAAATTCTTGAGGATACACAATCTAACTGCCATTCTTTGTAGCACCGGGAGACCCATTCAGGTCAGTCACCAGAAACTCCTCACCTTGATTTAAGCACACTGCAATGGTAGTATGAACACCTTCTCCAGCATAAGATCAATGATTACAAGTCACAAATTTGAAAACTGGGTTGATTTGCATATTAAAGTTCTCCATGACCCAAAAATCTAGCACAAAGCCAAACACAGTCAAAACATGAAATGAATTATATGACACAATTATTATTAGAGAAAACTGAATACATTTTAGTACTGAATGAAAGTAAACTGTTGGTATAGCCAACTTCTTGATTGAGTTACATCATTCTACAGTGATTCCCAATTCTTAGGACAAAGCCATCATGATCTCAGGCTGGAATCTTACATCTCAAGAGATCAAATGAAAGTCCTCTGAGAAATCAAAAAATAAAGCTGACTTCTTTCAATAATGAGAAACTTCAACAGTAGGCACCTCTGATTGGCCATTTGTTTGTGTAAAAAACTAACACAGAAAACTAGCAAACTGTCATGTCCACTTCAGTTTCCTAACTGCTCCAGCAAATTACAACAACTAGCTCCTGATGCCCGGAGTGTCTATTAAGTATTGTACACCCTAGAATTCTGTTACTGCTGTATCTACGATTTGGACTTGTTCAACACTACTGAGCCAATGGAGTTTGCAACTGTACTGTACAATTTAAGAATAAGTGGATTCATTTTCCATGAAAAGTTCAATACAATGTTGTGCCCAAGTAGCTCCAAAGTCTCGGCAAGTTTAACAGTGCATATGCATGACAACAAGGGTATCACTTAAATTTTTAAAATTGAACCTTTTAAGTTTCTGGATTGATTTATTGAAGACTGCCATATCAGCCAGTCTACAGAACTGTGGTCAAAACATATACAGAGAAAATTCTACATAGGCAAGCCTTTAAGTAATGAATATGAGAAAAAAAAGTGACAGTTTATATCTCTGCTTTCACTACAAAGTATGTTCAAATAATTTGTTTAAGTACCTATATGCTCTAAACCACTGACAGGAAAAATTTAAAACATAGAACCCACTTTAACTTGTTATGTGATAAGTAAGCAAATGTCAATTTTCTACGTATCAGCTATGAGCATTTAAATACAAAAAAATCCTAAACATTGTTGAAAACTTCAACAAAACTGTGGTGGGTAAAGCTGAAGGTAAGTAACCTTTTGTTTTAGTCACCATTCCATTGTGAGCTTTACCGCTGGCCTAGAAATTCTTGAATGCACAATCTCTGTCATTAATATGCCATGTGCTTCAAAGGGTTAAGAACCCAGTGAGACCTGCAAAGACTTGAAGAAAGCAAAAAAGCAAAAAAACGGATGTTCTTTGCACACACACAAATAAATAAACTCCAAGAGAGTGACAAAATTTATAAGCCCACGTCATTACAAAGATAAATCAGTAGACCTTGGTTCAAATCTACCACATTCACTGGAAGTCATTAAAGATCTACAATGGCTTGGTGAGTAGATATTTAATCATGACGTACATAAAATATCTAACCAACAGACTACTCTTGAAAAGTGCGTACTACAAAAATTATCATGCTGGTAAACTGATAGAAAGCGAGGTCTCTTGCTTTTGTGATATAGACTTGAAACAACATGCAGTTTATTTCAGTTTACTAAGGAATTACTGGTTAAGTAAATGTCAGGTTTATGACAAAATTATGGTGGAAAAGAAAAAGGAAAAAATATGTGGCACTGTTTAGATAATAAGAAGTAATTAAGATTGCCCCCCCCCCTCCCAAAAAAAAACATAACAGAAAAATGAGACAGCATGGTGATTGAATATTGCCATTTGCCCACTCAGTTCTAACCAGCCCAGTGAAAACAAGCCCAGTTTGCAGTCCACTGGTAATTCAACCAGGGCTGGTCAGCTCTCCCATACACCAGAGAGCTGTTTCCCATAGTCTTTTCAATGTGGTTTTGTATTTAAGTCTGTCACCTTGATCTAAGCACACTGTGACGGTATTATGAACACCTTCTCCAGCATAAGGTCAATGATTACTAGTAACAAATTTGAAAACGGGATTGATTTAAATATTTAAGTTCTCCATGACCCAAAAATCTAGCACAAAGCTAAACACAGTCAAAACATGAAATGAATTATATGAAACAATTATAATTAGAGAAAACTGAATACATTTTAGTGCCGAATGAAAGTAAACTGTCAAGGTATAGCCAACTTCTTGATTGAGTTGCATCATTCTATAGTGATTCCAAATTCTTAGAACAAAGCCATCATGATCTCAGGCTGGAATCTTACATCATCAAGAAATCAAATGAAAGTCCACTGAGAAATCAAAATAAAATTAA